TGTATTGTCCTGTTCCTGCTAATGTTTCAGTCTCTTATTTTGTCTGTTTGCCATGGAAAGACACAACCCAGGAAATATCAACCCAGTTGTTGGGCCAACCTGAATGTATGACTTTTTACTTTTGTTCTGCACGAGGGGAATATCAAACACTGCTTTAAATATTCAAATGCTGGGTCACTGGTTCTTGGACATGCAGAGGCAGTGGAAAACTTTGAAGCATACAGAAGCAGGAGCAAAATGTATGTCTTGGCCAGAGATTTTTCCACATGAGAAAAGCTAGGTAGAACCTTGACTTAGTTACAAATGAGATGGTGAGGAGGCAAAAGAGGACTCCCTGTCACACTCTCATTCTCTGGGGCTTTTCCACTGCACTGGAGGTCCACTGGAGGGATTTCAGTAATGAGTCCAGGCCTATGGGCCAGGGTTATGATGCTAAGGCAGGCCAGAATGTGCTTATGCTGCAAAAGGTAGGTGTTTGCTTTCCACGCATCATGTTGAAATCTAAGTCTACCCACAGCAAAGCAAAGTTAGACAACATCTTGTCAGACAGATGCTCCAATGGCTTGCAGTCACCAACAGAGCTTGGGAAGATGTTCAGAGCCCCTGCTCCAACGTTTTCCTCTGTGGTTGTTCAAGCTCTCCTCAATATGGCCATCTTCAGCATCTTTAAAATTAGATGAGTAGCTCTAATTAGGTGAGTGACTAAGCAGGTGGTGCCTTCTGCAGGCTTCTCACCTCCTGCTCTGCCAGCTAACAAAGATGTTCTGGTAGAATATATGGAATCCATTCCTGATGTCCCCATCCAAAGCTTTGTTTTTCCTAACATGTAGGAGTAGAGAAAGAGTGAGAAGGTGAGATCAACTCATACCTCATGGGGTGAGGCCATGAAAGAGCATTCCAGTTGGTCAGAGCGACGCTTGTTCCAGTTCATCTGCCTGCAGTTTGACTTGTGAGTTTATGGTAGATCAATTTGTATGGATAGGGACTTTACTAGAAAGGACTATAAAATTCTAGCTCTTCTTTCCCTTGAAATGTGAAATTAGCTTAAAGATTTATCACCAAGGAGTAACGTTTCTCTCCTTTAGGAAAGAGTAAGCTTTTATCTCAAAGGAGGTACTAATTCCTATCACAGGCACCTGTGATACACAGTTCCCAGCACTTCAGCAGGTAAAAGTCTCCTCTCTGTGGTGGAACAAAGTTTCTTTATCCCTAAAAACCCTAGTCATGTGTGTTGTTTTCAGATTGTCACTCTCAGGAACCGGATTGATCAGGCTCAGAAACAGTAAGTACCCATATCCCCTTCCAAGCTCCTGGCTGGGGATATCCTCTAAGTGTTCAAAGTAGTCACTTCAGCCTCAACAACAACATTTTCTTGTTGCAATGAAATGAGGCTAAAGATGGAAGGATAACTCCCATTCTGCCTCACGCTGAGAAAATGAAGGGCAAAATGAAGTGTACATAACAGCTAAATAAAAATCACATTTCTTCATGCCATGCCTGCACAGTTTCCATCTGCTAATTCCTGGGATTTTCAAACGCCTGATTGAGATGCTTTGAATACACAAGGAGATCTAAATACCTTGTTTACGAAGGGTAAACAAGTGACTGCTAAGAATGGTGTGTAACAAAACTAACATCACAGGATTGTACTGTTACAAGTTCTTTTCACTCATCTCTCTCCTCCTGCTTTCCTTCTTCATATGACTTCTATTTAATCTGATTTTTCTGAGTCTCATGTCTTTAACTATTTTACATGTTTGCAGTGAACTTGTGGGAGACTAGGGCTAGAAGAAACCTGGAAGCTAGAGCATGTAGAAAAGTAACGGACATAGAAGAGGAGCTGCAGAGAAGCAAGGGAGAACTCTGCACTGATGGGATGTGGTCTTCTCAGTGCTTCCTAACCTAAGCAAAGCAACGTCAGGATGAAATGCTGGTCTGTGATGACATCTTTGGCTGATAGGAGTGACAGGCACTGCCTCCCCACCTCACCACATAACCTTGCCTTATCAGATGAACATAGCACTGGGAGCTCAGTTGTCTGTAGGTGCCAAACATAAGACTGGATCTCCCTGCGGTATTTTCTGTACAGAGCTGTAGACTGATAAACCGCAACAGAATGTGCACCTGCAGAAAGGTGCAGTGGTTTGCTGCTCTTTTGAGGGACACTGCAACCTGTACTAATAACTCATAACTGTTCCCCAAAAGATATGATACATTCTCAGCACAATATTTGAAAAGGTTGCACCGGGAAGTCCACAGCTCATGAGATTTCTTTGTATTTGAATTTCTATCCAAAACAGACTGTAACATTCCGAAGCAATGTCTGCTGGTGTGTTATACGAGGATCAAGTGATCCTATTGCTTCAGATTTTTATTAAGTCTCCTTAAGCACATTCTAAAGGTTAGGCATAACATCAAACACTACAGGCGTTTGTGGAGATAAAAGGGCTCTGCCTTCATCTGAGGAGCTATAGAGCTCCTATACTGGATTTTGAACCCGTGGGGAAGTTGGCAAAAGCAACACAAAGATGAATTTAACAGAAGCAGAAATCTTTCAACTGTCTCTCATGCAAAAGTTCATTTTTCAAATAGGTCAAGTCTAAGTTGGTCTTAAGGTAAAGTATCCACTATATGTACTGTCTGTGTCACTGTGTTACATCATTCTATAAACACAGCTAGCAGTCTTGAACAGATGGGGCAGTGCTACAAAAAATCTGCCCAGATATGTCTTCCTCATCTTTCTCCGCTCTGAAGAAATCAGTGGTTCTGAAGCAGGTATCTTTAACGACAGCAAGGCCCTACTACGCTGTGCCTGCCCCCAACCCCATGTTCTTCCAAGTCAAAGATGTGCTTCAATTTTGCATGTGCTTTGGGTTCAAGAAGCAGCTTCACTGTCCTGTGTGTGTGAGATGGGTTTGGTGGTGTGCTGTGCGCCAAAAGCCAAGATTTTGCCAATGGGAGCCAGTACAGAATCTAACCCAACTAACTTCATACCTGGTCCCTCTGTGGCTCCAGGTGTGCCAGTTTCTCAGTCAGAAGGTAAGTGGCTTGCATGCAGGATTGTTCCTCTCTATGCAAGAAGATAATGTTTGGAGAGAATTTGCTTTGTATGGGGACTGTAGCTGGACTGCTCCCACGTACAACATGAGCAAGATTGGAATATTGGGAGGCCTAAAAACTTTGAATTGTTTTGGAGACTTGCTCTAAGAAAGAAGTTATTCTGCTTGTGCTAGAGCGAAACAGTTCTAGTTGTATTTAAATTACCATTCGACCTGTTATCTTAGTTACCAGATAGCTAGGACTGGGGAACTCAACAAGACCTCCCTGATGAGAAGAAAATTTTATTTAGAAACACGTTCAAATCCAGATCAAAGCAGATCTGAATTCAGAAGACTTCAAATGTGTGGCAGGATAGTCTTGTTGCTTAGTTCTGAGATTGGTTGGACTTCTGTCCAGTTAATGCAGGAATCTGGAAGGGTCCACCTCTTCCAGGAATGCACATCCTGGCCTTCTGCTAAGACTCAGAAATAGAAAATCTTTCCACAACATCCACAATGTTTTTCTCGGGATGTGCTCGATAACGGGTGTGCCCAGCATGTGAAAAGCAAAAGCAGCTCCATGCTAATCTGAGAGTCAGAAGTAGAGTGTAGAGTGCAGGGCAGTAGACTGCCCTACTGCTTCCTTCAAACTGACATGTTTTCCTTGCCTTTTGTATTGCAGCAGCAAGAAGGCAGGAGCCAAAGGCAAGGTTGGTGGGCGCTGGAAATAAAGAACCAGGCAGAATGGCCCTTAGTGATGTGCCGAAACCCTGCTGGTCTCTTCCTTCTTCATTCACAAACCACTTGTGTTCCCGTGCCTCAGCGATAACTAAAATTGCAACATCAGCCTGGGTTGGCTATTGCTGCTGCTTTTCTTCTTCCTGGAAGGGTCTGGTGGCTTCCTCAGTCAAAAGGAAGCAGGTTCCCTTTGGAACTGGGGAGACTCCTTGCTGGCATCTTCAATTCCTGCTGAGCATGTCCTTTATCCTCCTGACACCAGCCCTACGCTGTCCTGTAGATTGCTGTGTACAAATCTCTGGATTCTGTAAATAAAGCGCAACCAGTACCTACTTCAACAACAGTTGAATGATGTTTTGTATTTTACTTAACGGAAATTAAGGGTTAAACCAAATGCTTATCTAGTAATATTTGACCTGACTTTGCAAATGGGAATGAGGGAATGAGGTTCAATATCATTAACCAAGAACCAGGATTCAGGGCCAGATTTACAGCCTCTATGCAGGCAGATAAGAAAACCCAGCTCTGTTCTGAGGGAGTTCATAATCTATGTGCCTGTCTGGAATCCAAATGCAGTCGAAGCAGACTTAAAAATGTGAGTGATGAAAGGAATCAAAGACTTGGGTGTGGGGAAATGAATCCACAGAAGTAGAAGCTTTCAGCACATGGCATTTCTTAAATGCAGATGTGGCAGCACAGCAACAGAGCACTTCTAACTCAAATATTACGCTGAAATGTTTATTGAGGCAGTTAATCAACATATAGTATTGAAATCCAATGAAGAGACACAGAACAGCTGCTAACAAATGTGGGTTCTGAGCTGTTGTGTAGAGCTGCTCTCCTCACCAGCCTTGGAGGCACTTCATTGGAAGGAAGCCTTCCACAGATTTCCCACCTGGTTTCCTACCAAGCTTTTAGTGCCAGCTTTTCCACTATTCCCAGTTCTCTGGCTAGTATAAATGAGCCTGCTTATGGTCATCCCTGTGATGACCCTGTGAACCTTAGCGATTCTATAATTCTTCCGTAAGAGCTGGCCTCCAACCCACAACCGTCCTCCCTCCAGGGCCGGGCTTGTGAACGAGCCCCGCTGTGGCTGTAGAGGGCAGCCTTGAGAGGAGCGCCAACGTAGAAGCGCCGAATTCCACCCTGTCACCGCTCCTCCGCTCCAGCAGGGGGCGCCAGCGGCGGCGTTCTCCTCGCGTTACGCCGCTCTGTGGTCGCAGCACTTCCGGGCCGGACGGCGGCCATGGCGGCGGGCGGCAGGAAGGCCGTGTGAGCAGGCTGGGCGGTGCGGGGATGGGGTTAGCGGTGCAGTAATGCCGCTTGGTTGCTTATCGGGCCTTCTTCTCCCCTCAGGTACCCCTTGTTCCAGCTGGGCGGCCCCCAGCTGCGGATTTTCCGCCCCAACTTCTTCATGTTAGCGGTGCGGCCCGGCGTGCCGCAGCCCGAGGACACCGTGCAGTTCCGCGTCTCCATGGAGTGAGTGCGGGCGAAGGGCGGCATGTCGGCCCAGGGAGCGAACGGTTCCCCGTCTGCTTTGTCCGACCTGCTGCTCTTTACGTACCTATGGGGATGAGGGTGAGGGACTGGAAGGAGCGGTCCTTGAGAGCAGCCCTGCGGAGGAGGACCTGGGGGTCTTGGTAGATGAAAAGCTTAACGTGAGCCAGCAGTGTGCTCTTGCAGCTAGGAAAGCAAATGGTATCCTGGGCTTCATTAGAAGAGGGGTGGCCAGCAGGGACAGGGAGGTGATTGTCCCCCTCTGCTCTGCTCTTGTGAAGCCCCATCTGGAGTACTGTGAACAGGTCTGGAGCCCCCAGTACAAGAAAGACAGGGAGCTGTTGGAGAGGGTCCAGAGGAGGGCCACAAAGATGATCAGGGGACTGGAGCACCTCCCCTATGAAGACAGGCTGAGGGAGCTGGGCTTGTTCAGTCTGAAGAAAAGAAGGCTGTGGGGTGACCTCATTGCAGCCTTTCAGTACCTAAAGGGAGCTTACAAACAGGAGGGGAATCAACTCTTTGAAAGGGTAGATAACAGCAGGGCAAGGGGAAATGGTTTGAAGTTGAGGGAGGGAAAATTTAGGTTGGATGTCAGGGGGAAGTCCTTTACGGAGAGAGTGATGAGGTGCTGGAACAGGCTGCCCAGAGAGGTTGTGGATGCCCATCTCTGGAGGTGTTGAAGGCCAGGTTGGATGGGGCCCTGGGCAGCCTGGTCTATTATTAAATGGGGAGGTTGGTGGCCCTGCATGTGGCAGGGGGGTTGGAGATTCATGATCCTTGAGGTCCCTTCCAACCCTGGCCATTCTGTGATTCTGATGGGGCTGAAGGAAGGGCCTTCTGCGTGCCAGAGCTTCCAAGACAGAATGCAGAACATCCCGCACATTTTTACTGCTGAGGCTACAGAGAATAAAGTGTTTACAGCCATTACAGTTTATGGTTATGAGTTGCTTCAGTGGTATATGATTTATGTTGAGTTTATACTCCTGTGCAGTGAATCTACCTTGGTTTGGTTAAAGGGGAAGCTGAATTTATCCCTCTGTCTGTTTGGAGTTTAGTTAAATATTTATACTTCTGCTTTTTTTTTCCCCTGTAGTTAAATATTCATGCTTCTGCTTCTTTCTTCCCCCAAAATACTGTCTCCTTGCTTAGAATGACAAAAGTGGATATCAAGAATTACCTTGAGAAAATCTATAATGTGCCAGTAGCTGCTGTGAGGACCAGGATACAGTATGGTAAGTGCAGTTGAACAATTTAAATGGGTGGTTACAGTTTCCTTGCTCATCTGTATATTTGTTCCTTAAAATAAGTATGTACCACTTCATATGTACCTCTTCACATTTGAATGCTTTGTTTAGATTAGAACATCAGCTTTTTCTTTTAAAAACTTAATTTAAAAAGACTTAAAATCTTGACTGATTTTCTGACCCGTACCAAATGCTTTGGTACCATTTCTTTGTGAAGACCAGCAGGTGTTTCACTCACTTCAGAAGGAGCTGCTTTGCGAGTTTACCTAACTTGTAGAGAGGAGGTGTTATGGTCTGACAGAGGCCAGAGTGTGTACAGGGAAAAAATACTCAATTAGACAAGTGGATAATATCAGAAACACACCTTTACAATTTTTTTCCCCTTGTAGTTACCACATTTCTGCTGTAGATTTGTAATTTGTATGTATCCACTTATTGTGTTTCTTCACTACGCTGCACTTGTACCAAAACAAAAAACCGAAACAAAAAAAACTCAACCCCACAAAGAAACAAAATGTTCAAAAAACCAACTTCTTAAAAAACAAAAAACAAAAAAAGCAAAAACAAAAAAAACAGCCAAAGAACGTTCCTAGTTTTGCTGAACTCACACGTGGTGCACTCTTCTCCAATTGAGCTAGGCTGGGATTATGTACAATCACATTCACATATGAATGCTTCCTTTCGCAGAGCATCTCTGAATGCATTTTGTATGCTGTACAAAGTCAGGAACACCATTTTTATGTCAGGCATGTTTTTGATCAGCAGGTAGCTAATTAATCACATGGACAGTGACTTGTTGGGTAGCACATCTTTGGCTGGATTCTTCTTTTTCGTGAACTAACTAGGAAAGGAATTGATTGATGTGTTTCTAATCCCAAGAGCAGGGGCAGTTTTTAAAAAGGTGTAGGGTAAAAAGGGCTGTGATAGTGAAAAATGGAGAATGAAAGATAAAGCATCAGAAGAAGGTTGTAACTCAGAACGCATAGAAGAATAGAAGGAAAACAAAGATCATCTGCAATATGCCTATGTAGAAACTAAAGTCTTTAATACCAAAAATATTCCATTGTCAACAGCACTAAAAAATCTTCTTGTTTGTCCTTGTAACCTTGTTTTGTTCCTCATTACTTATGGAAGTGTTGTTAATATGTGTATAGTCAGGGATAGAAGAGGAAAGGTTTAGGATGTCTCGTAGTTCAAGAGCTTTAATTCTCTTATATGCAGGGAGTAAAATGAACTTCTGAATACAACTTGCATAAAGTGAAGATGCTTTATTTTGTTGGTTTTTTTTGGGTCTGGAGCGTAATTTTCTGATTTGTTTGACAGTAGATCATTCTCATTAGCTGAGCAGTAAAAGTTGACCAGTCTGAAGCTGCTCAGTGGTCATTTCCTCATTATTTGACTGAAGCTGTTAATGTTGGAAGGGCAGTTTGTTTCTCCTGGCTTCTCTACTCAGAAGAATTTCCACTTTACTGCTTTGCAAAATTTGTGTTTTGACCATGAAAGCATGTCAGCAGTTTGAATCTGGTCTCCTCTCCTTACATGTGAGCAGTGTTTACCAGCTTCAGTACATTCTAGTAATTGAGATATTACTGTGTAGTATGTATGTTGATATTGATGGAATTAAGATGAATCTTAACAAAAAATCAAGACTGGGGAAGTCCCCCCCTTCAGCCTGCTCTTCCTTTTGGGTACTTGGAAGTCCTGTGTAGTTACTGATGGACCTCTTCTATTCTGCAGGTGCAAACAACAAGAGAAACCATAAGAATCAGAGAGTGAAGAAACCAGATTACAAGGTCGCCTACGTACAGCTGGTGAGTTCACGTGGATGCTTGCAGGGAAAGAAGAAGGAGCTGTTAATCAGCCAAGCTGGAAGTAACGCTTAGTGAATTGTCCAGTTGGCTGGCTATTTCTTCCAATCCTCTAATGTAGATTATTATTATTTTTTTTTTTTTAAATATGCTCCAGAATGTATAAAGACATCTGATGACTTAGCTGAAAAACAAATTCAATCAAAACGTTAGTTCTCAAGTCCCGTTTTTGTCTGAGGCTTCTATGTAAGTTACGGTCTGATGTCATACAGTGCTGCTTTGCCAGTGAGTTTCATACTGACCCTGTACTCTGGAAAGTTCATGACTTGTGTGGTTGATTGCTGAAATGTCCAGTAAGTAAAAGAATATATTGTAAGGATGGGGAACTTTTTATTAAAGCTCTTTGGATCTCAGAGAAGACTAAAGCATATTCCCTGAGGAGCTTTTAGTCATGTCTAGTAAGTGTGCTTTGTGGCTGAAGTGGGTTCTAAAACGTATGTTGGTTGCCCAGTGGAAAAGGAGCTTCATGTTCTTATGAGTTTCTTTCGTAACAGAAGCGCATTATAGTTCAGACTTCTCTTGGGCTTACCTGGCTACAAGGAAAAAAGAAATGCCACCCATGAAAGAAAAACCTTTCACATACCAAAATTACATTAAAGGAATGCTATTTATGGTTGTAAAGCCATAAGTTCAAAGTTGTTGTTGGCAACACAACCTCAATGTTACTCTGTCCTGGGACACTGAGTTAGTGTGGGGGAGCGTTGCGTGGTCTTACAGCTTAAAGACTGTGTAAGAATTCACACAGACATTTCACTGCAGTGAAATGAAAGATGCACAGACAATGGGGAAGAACAATGTTTAGTTTTTAATTGTTCAGATTTGACATGGTCTTGGAAGTTTTCCTTTAAGCCCCTTTTAGGAAGGGGTGTGAAAGGAAAATGGAGAATTCTTTTTTTTTTGTAGGCAGCCCTTATCTATAAAAGGACAGCATGAAATGCAGCATTAGTAGAAAGTAAGAGTTTTATGTTTATATGAGGACTAACCTTCATTTACTGTGCTGGAGTTGAAGGCAACCTCCTCTGGATGAAGTCTTGAGTTTTGATGACAAAGAAAACATGCCTTTTTTTCAAGAAAGAGTCTCTGATTTGTTGGACAAATTCCCCCTCTTGAAGGGAAGGCTGTTGTCTGTGTAAGGTTTTTGTCTGCAAGAAATTAGGTATGACTAATGTATTAAAAACACGGCTGAGGGATTGAATGTCAGGAGTGATTTTGTCTTACGAGTTACATTCTCTGGATGATGATCCTTAGTAGGTAATTGGAGGCACTTTCTATTGTCACAGCTTCTTGGTGGTGATGGCTGTGCTTTTGGAGTCTTGTTTCCCAAAATTGAAGCAGATGTGTGTCTCTAGTGAACCTTGATCAGTTCTCCAATTTTACTGGACTGTATTTAAATACAGTCTTGTTTCTGTGTCTGCTCAATTGAGAACGGGGGTAGTCTGCAACCCACAGACAAATTCAGGGGGAAAGAATAGAAAGCAAAATGTTGTATTTCTGTGGAAAGCCACTCATTTAAGACAGTCCCCATGTGCATTCATTTCAGGTTAAATTTCTGAGATCAGAATAGTTGTCGTCACCATATACGTAACTGCAGTGTGGTGGGGAATTACGTGGTGTAGTACTGGAAGCAGTTGTATACCACCAGTGCTGTTGTATACCATCAGTGCTTCTCTAGCCCCTGTTTTGTCTGCTGGGCAAATTGCCCTGTGCAGACCTCTGTGGTATTGTGGTTGAAAAGCATTCGTGGTTCCTGAAAGAGCAAGTAGCCCTTGATACCCAACGGTATCAATGTGAGTTTTTATAGAATGCTGTATTTTCACCTGTGCTGTGAATGGAGTTAGGAGTTCACCTTTAAGCTTTTGTTGTGCAGTATCCTAGGTGAGAAACTGACCCTTTAAGTAAATGTCTGCATGCTGTCCCTTCACCTCATTCCTCGGCTCTTTGCAGTTTTTTCTTCTGTTGTAGTTCCCTGTGAATTCTAATCTTTAGGTTTCTCTTTTTATTCCTTTTTTTTTTTTTTCCTTTTTTTTCTTCTTCCATTTGTTCTTTGCTTTTCATCACTATTTCTGGTGTCTCAGACAGTGAGCTCCCAGTTCTGTGTTCACACCAGCTTTAAATGCTGGGTGAGGCCAGAAAGCCAGAGTTGTTTCTGAAATGGAAGGTTTTGCCTTCATTCTCATTCACGGTGTGATTCAGGCCAAAACAGGCCCTATGCAGTCCATTGTTACTATCTGCCTAATTTAGAAAAGTGTGGTAACCACTGTAAAATCCCTTTTTAATGAGAATTATTTTGCATCTGCAGTGAGTCAGAGTAGCAGGGCTTTCCCACCATTTTTACCAGCTGTGTTTTCTCTCATTAATCCAGTTTCAAGTTAAAACTGCTTATGACTGGAAAAATAACTGTTTTTGGAGGGACTTGGGTTGGGCTTCGTGTTGCCCACTAGGTGGAAGTATTGCACTTCCCAGTGAGACTCCCTAGCAGCTGTTGTGTGGTTTACCTGAATGAAATGGAGCATGTTTCTCATGACTGCTTTTGCTAGCTCGCTTCATGAAACATCATCTTATGTGTTCCAGCACAACGTGCACGTCCATTAACTTACTGCAAGCGTCTCAAAGGTGGAAAGTCATAGTTGATACACCCTTGAGTGTCACAATAGTGCCCCAGCTGCTCCACATGTAAGAATTGTTGTCCTTTCTTTTCCAAATACTATTTCTTGGAGATTCAGAGCTGTTTACTTTATTCTCAGGCTGTAACTGGACAAATACATATCAGTCCAAGCATAATATTTTCACACTAAAAAAATACCTCAAATCATAGAAGGCTGTGGATCAACAATATCTTGCCATTCCAGACTCTGCCTGCCTTTTTTTCCCTTCTGGAATGTGGTGAGAAAGGTTTAAGTTGGAGATTTTTGCTTTTGCTATCAAATCCTACTTTTTAACGCTAATTTATTTTTCTTAACAAAAATGAAATCTATCTGTCTTTGCCAAGTAACTAAAGCAACAACCTTTTATCTGATGAAATTATAACTATCCTAATTTTACTTAAAAGAACGAAAAGGAAAAAAAAAGAAAGAAGCCACTGGTAAACTTTACAGTTACATCAACATCATGGAAATTAAAAAAAAACAACAACATCCCCTCCTCCTCCTTCACTGTTCTCACTGTTTAGCTCAGCAGGTGTTAGCACCCGTGGGAGCCCAACTGTAGACAAGCCTCTGGAATCCAGACCTATTTTTAATTAAACCTGTTTTGAGAAATCTAATGGAGATGGCTGTAAAAAGGAGTCTGACCTTGTCAACATTTGGACTAACACCTATTTAGCTACATGAATGATGGCACCGGTGGGAACATTTTTGCAAATGCTTTCTCCTTAGACCCTGCCTGCAGTGTCCTGTATGTTCTTAGTAATTAACTCATTTGCACATCAGATGTGACATGTGATGAATTCAGAGTAAACTTGGACGCACTGTTAGCTGTACTATTCCTGTGTGGGCTTTGAAGCTGTTTCTGCGTGCTGTTTTTTCCATACATTTTAGTATCAGATGTTACCATGTGCAGTAGTAGGAAAATTGTTGAAATGCACTGGATTATTAAACTTAACTGCATTTGCTGCTACTGCTGGACTGAGTCCCGTGCTGTTGGGAGTCCAACATTTTTTTAGTTAATGATACTATAAACATCATTTTTCTACTAATTCTGAAGGACAGTAGTAAGTGCTTCAGAAGACCTCACAGTTGTTTACATGAGCAGTGTTTGCTGCGTCATTCCTACACAATAATATCTTTGTTGACCTCCTTTTCCTAAACTTTTGAAGGGACTCAAAGGTCAGAAAAGTACAAGTGAGTTTGTGCTGGATAATCCTTCCAGCAATTTTCTGACATGAGGCTCAGCAGTGGGATGGCGAACACTTGACTTCATAGGCCTAATTATGGTCACTTAACCTGCCATTAAAATGAATGGAGGCAATTTGTACCACTTGATGTTGTAACTCCTTCTACAGACTCGGGGAGCAAGGTGTGTTTTCACCCTTTGTAACCACTAAGATTTGAAATGTAAGTTAAAAATCTATTTTCAATGTTTAGGTCACTTGTTATCTTAAAAGACATTAGCATGTAATGAATGAATAATGACTCTGTACATAAATCAGTTTCACATTGGGGTAAAGCTGAAATGAAGATTAGATTTGTGCAGGAGAAAAGTTGAATGGTTCCCAATTCTGTAATCTAAACAGAGGACCACACATCTCACTTGTGTACAACCTTAGAATTCCTAGGAAGAAGGGAGGTCTCTGGGAGGACCCTAAATTGAGAATACCAACGTGTGAAAACATCACATTGGCTTTATTTTTTTAGGTACTTTTGTAATGCCTCTATGACTTCATTGCTTTATTTATTTATTCTTTAACATTTTAAGGCCTCGTATGAGAGGATGTGGAGGGAGAGCTTATCCTGACAGACTCCAAAGATATCACCTCACAGTGCTGCAGTGTCAGTAAAACGACTTTTTCACCATCCAATTCCAAGACAAACTAAATTATCTGAGCAAAATTGCCTGGGTTTTTTGGGGGTTTGGGTTTTTGTTTTTTTTTTTTTTTTTTGGTCAGTGTCTGTCTTTTTTACAGCGCTTTCTTTTAGCAAAACTGTCAGATAGGAGGGTGTTCTCGCTTTCTCCTGCTTTCCCCATGCTTCTGACTGAGGTAACCGTGCTGGCAGGAGTTCTACAGGGAGACCAGATCTTAGCTTTTTTGGAGTCCGTGTCAGTTTATGAATTTCAGTAAATCAGTGAAAGGGAAGACCTCACTTAAATGGCTTACAAAAGGTAAAATGCTGAACGAATGTAAGGTTTGGGAATAAGAACACAAAACTTTGCATCCTGGTTGGATGTGCCAGGAGTTCTCATTCTGACAGTTTGGAAACCTTGTAAAATCCTTGCTCTGATGAACCAAGTAGAAATTCAGTTGTTTGCTTTATTTTGGTTAGGATTTACCATATAGTTAGCAGATGACTGCTGTATAGAAGAGAAAACTTTTTCAAAGCAAAATGTGTATCTGAAGCAGGATTGCATAAAGGAATGAGGATCCCTCTGTTTCTTTGGTAGACATTGTTTTGAGAAGGTGGCATATGAGCTGAAACATTGGTGGCCTCTGGCACCACGCTGAAGATGCACCAAATATAAATATGCCTGGATAGACTCTCAACACATTCTGTAAGCTGATGCCTCTTGGTATTTTTGAGATTTTGAAATACCCAAGATACAGGCTTCTTTTGAAAACTAGCTACTGAGCATGCACTACAGCCATTTTTCATACAGCTTTCATCACTGCAGAGTCTTACAGCGCAGTATTACTGCATAGTATTGTTACTTAAGATTTATCAACCTTCAGTTCTCAGGGTGTAATGTCTTGGCTGTTTCAAATCGTGTCTGGCTGCCAGCCAAAATCAGAATTTCTTCACAAAACAAGAGCTGGAAAGAGCCAACTTGTCTGTGCTGATTTTGATTTATTAAAAGACTCCAGATACAGATTGACATTTTTCAGCTCAATATTTGACTTTCACCAGCCTCGAAATGGGAACTGTGAGCGCTTTGATAAACAGCTGAAAGGTTTGCCTGGTTTCACTACACCCGCTTTGCCTATCTTTTTAGATTTTTTTATTCCCTCTTTTAAAAATAATAACTGTTCTGCAGTGCTTAGTGAATTACCAGGAACGTTGTTAGTATGCTTTAAGGACAACTTTCCTTCATTTGCCAATAAGAGAAGTGCTTTGGTGTTGGAAGCATACCAGAATGGTAGTGCTGCATAACAAGAACCCCTTACTACAGTGTTACCAGTATGAACAGTTCTCACATTTTCAGTGTAGGTGGTATGCCTGCCATGTTATTCTGAATTGTTTTCCAATGTGTTTTACTAAAATGGCTTCCTCTCCCGGATGGATGAGTCCTTAAAATCAGAGCCTTATCTGTTCTATAGGTACGGCGGGGCTGAGCAACCTGCTTGCAGTACAGTTTAAAAGACAGTAATTTTTTGTAATGTAAACGAGTTCTTTTCCAAATGCTTCGGTTTGCTCACTTCTTGGGCAGCCCTTGGCTGCAAGGGTGTTTGCTCTGATCCCACTGCAGGAAGAATTTCAGTAGGGTACAGCTTTGGGATTGTTCTAGGACATTGATAACACCTATTTCTGTACCTCATATGGAACTATGCTTCAGTTGTCTTGGACAGCTATTAAAAGCATACCTGTTGGTAATTGAAAGGTACAAAAGAGTTGAAACTCCCGAGTGTACGTTGTGGAAAGGAAAACCATGATTTGTTCCAGTTGATCTTATCCAGGCTAGAATCTAGGAAGGAGCAATGTACACAGCAGCTCCCTTGTTGTTTTTGTAGTATGGTCAGGCTCTTAGGAAACCCCTAAGAAGTATGCACTAGAAAAACAACTGGAGCGTTGCTGGGTATGAGTTGATATTTCCTAGATTCTAGTCTGGATAAGTTCAACTGGGATAAGTCATGGTTTTTCTTTCCAAAACGTATGCTTGAGGTTTAAATTCTTTCACACCTGTAAATGACCCCGTTGAGTGTATATGGCTAAATGGAACATAACACACAGGGTCAGGGACACAGTGGCAGGTTTTTTTTTTGTAAATTATGTCATATTTCTGATCCCAGAATGCAGTATAGATAGCTGTGTTGTGGAAGTCTCATTTCATCTCTTTTGTGGAGCTGTTTCTTAATTGTGCTTCTGATTCAGTTATGTTTATTGCACAAACGTAAAGAGTAGATGATCTGAAAAAAACTGTTTTCATCCAAGGCAATTAAATGCTATTGTTGAGATTTCTGTGTAGTGTTCTGCCAATGAAGTTAATGTATGATAAGATTTGTAGGTGTTTTGGAGGATAATTTTAGAGTTATGAATTATGAGCTATCAGTTATGAGCTTCATTATGCAAAGTCCCATATGGAATGCAAGGGAATGGAAGGGCTGATATTGAGTTTAATGAAGTTGTGCTTAGTGCAAACACCACTAGAAAGCAAGCAGATAATGTTAATGGGATAGAACATTTCCACAGAATAATGGTTTCCTGCTGTTAGATAAAAACCAGAGACCAAGCAAATGTTTATTTTCCAAGTGGGAGACATAGATTCGATGATGATGTTACACTAAAATGACTTGTCTTTTAGGCAGAATGACTGATGCAGATGTAATCACTTTAATCTCATCAGTGATGGATTAGACAGATTGTTGCCACTGTAATTATTTTTACACTGTAGACTTTATTCCAGTTGATAAGAGACCTCTGATATCTGTTATTTTGTGTTCCCACATTACACCCTATAATAACAGCTGCTAGATCTGTTCTTTCTAATCCCAGACGAGATTTAAACAACTATAACCTCTACTCGTATCCTAAGTATTAAGATAATGAATGCTTGCTCTGCCATGTATTTCCCTGATGGTGTGACTTCAACAAAATTGCTTATTTTGCTAATCTTGCTTTTACTATATGACTCCTACAATGTATCTGAGCTGGCTCGATATCTTTGAAGAGGTCTCTCTCTCCTGACCATTCATTCCATAAAGAAAGTTGTCGATATCTTAATTTCTGCACAAAGGAGAAGAGGCAGGAAGCTGGTTTTTGATGGGGAGGGATAGGTGTGTATCTCAGGGAGAGCACTGGAAAGAGGCATTGGGAGTTAAGGGTACCCTTTTGCACCAACAGAAATTTAAGGATGGTCTTTGACTGTAGTTGTAAGTACATGCGTCGTACCTGTTGCAGGAATGCTCGGATGCCTTTTTGACCATTTGTTTTCTCTTTTAGGGTCAAGGGAAAACCTTTCAGTTTCCCAACCTATTTCCAGAGAAAGAAGACTCAGAAGCTGAGGCTTTTGATGACTTCAGGAAAACGTTCATGGAGAAAGAGCAGCAGAGCCAGAAGGGTGACCCCAGACGAGGCGGAGTCCCCGATTGGTTTGGACTTTGATGCAAGAAGCCAGCTGCCTTTCTTTAGGCTCAGAGGGATTTTAATCAGTAGAACTTGCACTTTTCTTGTAATGACTGCGGATTTATCCCTGAGCATTGCTTGCTAGTGTGGTTGTTTTGTTTTTTTTCCCTAGCTGTTTATGCTCGACTGCAACAAAATGGCCTTAAAGAAATAAAAAGGTAAAATAAATCTGACTGCATCAGATCTTTCCTCTGAACTTGGGGACTATTTCTGCAATGTGAAATTGCTTGTTGTTTCTGATGTGAGAGTGTCATTGTACTTACCTTCTTCTTCATTCCACAGGTCATGTGAGTAGAAGTAGGAGGGATTTTGTTTCCCAGGATAAGCGTGTTTTGCACTGAATAGAATGTATAAAAGTCATGACAGAACAGCTGAAGTTGGACGAAAGCTTGTAGATAATTAGACTGCAGGCTCAGGGCATGTGTTTCCTTTATTGTCAGTTACTGTGTTTCGCCGTCCTGTGCATTGCCTTCCTTCCAAAGCTGCCCCATTTCCTGGAGATGTGCGCGTGGTCTGATTTCACTCCTCCCTTAATGGCTATGTGGTATTTTGGACATAGGTTCTTCTAGATAGACTTGTGGCTGTGTGTGTGTGATCCCCAGAAGTCTTAAGAAGTGGACAAAGGTGGTGCACAGTCCTTGCTAGCTGTTGTGCAATGCAGTTAATTGCTTTCTGTGATCAGTCTGCCCCAGGAACATTTAAGGGCTCAGTTGTGCTAATATTCCTTCCTCTGCCCACAGCTACCTTGCAGTGCTGGCAAGAGTCCTGTGTAGACACAGTTGTATTGGCATAAAAACGATTCTGCAAGTGTAGACTGTTTTGTGCTCTGGACTAGTAAAAAGACTCTTTTTACTTCACTGGTGCACCTCCCTTTACTTCCAAGTTGTTGGTGCCAGGGCAGTGGTAGAACTTTTTTAGTCCTCCAAGGCTGCCACGTTTAGGTTTTTCATTTCTTGGCTCTGCAGCTGTTTCTCCTTGCTTTGATGAGGTTATTTTCTTTTTCCCTTTGTCAAGTGAAATGCTCTGCTGGTGTGTCAGGAATGGCAGGGGAAAAAGGAGTTCTAGAGAGGACTTTAGCATGGCTAGAAGGAAGGATGTGCTTCTGCAGGCCGTTAGGTATAATGCTGGCATGTGCAGGGTTAAATGTATGGTTCATGTTTCCTCAGCTTCTGAATTCTGCCACTTGGAGCAATTGGCAGGGTAGTGAATGAGCTCTTGCCTTGAACACATCTACTCAGGTGCTCTCCATTATTGTTCCGTGTCTGAACTTTTTGTTTGGACAGCTAGCAAGATGTTTATAAGGAAACAGCTGTTCCCCAGAGAGACGATCCAAGTAAGATTTTATGCACCCCCTTCTGTTCGTTAGTTGCCTCTTTCCCCCGGCTGCATCCTCTCTGCACAACAGTCTGTTGCTTACAGCTTCGGTGTTTCTCCCACCCCCATCTTTATGTAGCATCCAAGGGGGATTGTGTGTGAGAAAACTGTGTTAAAAAGAGAGATGCTCCCTGAGAAGAGGGAGATAAAGGAGGATTTGCTACTCGTAGCCTGCCAGGAGAGTTACAATAGTAGATGTGGAAAAGTACTGAGTTCACTGAAAAAAAGTGTTTGTGTTTGGCATATCTGCAAAGCCAACACTTCCAGAGTTTTGTAGTGACATGTAAAACTTCAGGTTAAATTGGGAACTGGCCTGCAGTTTTGAAGTGTGAGGGCTGAATTTGTCTAGGTAAAAGGGTCTCTCTTCTGCTGTATATAGTTTTCCTAGCATTCCTCCCTTCCCCTCTTACTTTTTTTTTTTTTTTTTTTTTAATTAATGGGCTTGTTTTCAAACTTCCACCTCACTTTGAAGTTGATCCATTCTGGGTCTGAATCTTTGCTCCTACTCTATAGTATCACAAAGTTTGCTGTTTTTTTTCATCATTTTCCTTTGTGTTAGATTCCAATTTAGGTAACTCCATCTTTACCAACGTGACAGTGAAATGACAAGAATTCATCTAGTGCTGCCATATAACTTCCTAGCTGATTGGTCAGCCTTGAGCAAGCGAACAGACAGGTATGTGGTAGTTCTGGATAAGTGAGGGTGTATTCCATGTGTTAGGTGTAACAGCAAATTGAGATATTAACCACCAGGCTCTCTACTTTCTGTGTTGTGGTCCTCAGGAGAGTCACCAGCTTCTGTATCGCCACTGAGAACTTAGGCTGTGAGGAGTTTATTTGCAGTAGCAAATATGCACTAGGCTGAGTGAGCATGAAATGTTACAGGGCAGGTCTACCATGCTTTGCTACACTGATTTCTCCATGGTTGATTAATTTTTAGCTCATGTTCAAAACAGGTTTCTGACTGGAGTGGCACGAAAGGGAAGAAATAGATGAGTGTACCCATATCTATATGAAGTTGCTACAACCAAATTATGGCAGATACTCAAGCAACTTAAGAGAGAGAACTTATGTTACCAGCTTCCTCTAAAACAGTGTACCTGTGAAATTAAGGTAAGGTTAAAAAAAAAAATAAAATTCAAAGTCCCATTTGCTTTAATGCTCAGTTTTCCCAAGGAAGTGTGACTGTAAAGGTGCCAAATCTTTCCTAGTCCCTTGTTGACTAGTGTTTCAGAGGAGGTGCTAGATCTTCGTATACTTAGTGTTTCACAAATCCTGTCCCCTGCGCTGTACAGGTAGGTTAGAAAATAATGGAGGTAACACTTGTACACGAAGTCAGGGTTTCTTTCAGGAACAAAGAAACATAGAAGATGAGTGGTGAAGCAAAGACAGTGAGGTCTCAGAATTATGTAGTTGTGTTGATTAAATCGTGCTCATTCCAGCACATCTTGATGTTCTGGATGATGCAAGGGATCAGCAAATCCTGTGAGGTCACATGTAGCCTGCTTTCAGCGGTGTCAAGCTGTCCTTGGCAATGTCAGTAGCCATACCTGTGGCCAAGAGTTCCGAGTACACATGAATAAAACTTCTCCAAGGACCAAAGTAAAGACTTGGTTGAGGCTTTAGTGCAGGAGAAGCCACATCCCCCACTTGGCGTGCACAGCTCTGCAGCTGCTGGCTTCTCTGACGTGAAGGGGAGACGTTTCCCCTTTGTACGTGTACAACCCCCCAAAGAGAGCAACGTGCTGGAACAGTCAGCAGATGCGCAATTGCCTGCGTAGGCCACTCTAGGTGGAGAAAGGCACCCAGCTATGATGAGAGCTGTTGCAACCATACCATTAACGCTTCAGAGGGAACACACAATTGCTTTTTGTTTACTTGTATTATTTTTTTACATCAAACCAAAATGAATTGCAGAGACAGTGGCTTCGTAAAGTGACTTCTTTGACATTATAGCTTTGAAATGAGTTTTGCACTGTAGCTCTTGCTCAGTTGGGTGCTAAAGATAGGTTCCTTGTAGATCATGTAAAAAAGAGGGGTTGTGCGCAGGTGACAGAACCCCTGTCTGTTCTAACCATTTGTCACCTGAGCCTCGCTACATGACCTCAGAGAATGGAAGTGTTTCTCTTCAAGAGATTGAACTAGGAAGGCATATAGTGCAGTTCAGCTGGTAAGTGGTTAGTCTCAGAGTTCCATTTTCTGTGTTTAAGCCATGCTGTGTCAAAGATGAAGTGTATCCTGCAGATAAGTGGCTAGTTTTATGGTCTTTGTGCATCATCCCCACTCTGTTAGGCTACTTAATGGTTAAGAGAAAAGGCTAAGTAAAATAAACAATAGAAATGAAGCAAATACAACTTCATGGTGTATCTAGCAAATATTCCATAGCAAATAGCTCTGTATAGTGGAAAACCAAGTAGGAGGGAGGGTAAATGGCTCACTTTTGTGGACAGATAAGACTGGGAATGAGTAATCTGGAGCTTCAGATGTCTGCTTCCATACTGGGACTCCCTAATTACACATCTGCCAAAAGAAGAGTATTCAACAGTCTGATCCATTGTTGTCCCACTGTTGCTAAATATTTGAATGGATGAAACAGTGGGAAAATTGTGCTTGCTTGATCCAAAGTTGTCTTGCTGTGGGAAAGTGTTCATAAGTGGAAAACACCTGATCTGTTCAGGTTATCTCAACTGTATGAAAAAATCTGTAAGACAGACTGCTGCTTTTTCAGCAGTTGCCTGTTCATTGGCTTGAAGAGAGAGGTAAGGGTTGGGTGGGGGATGTCTGCTTACTGTGTGAATCAGGCAGGGTGCACAAAACAAGCACTATGTTTGCTAGAAGGGCTGAAAGCCATCAAACTCTTGTATTGACAATTCTGCTTTCTCCTGAAATAGAGTTCAAGGTCTGCTCAGAGTCCAGTTTAAAACAGTTCTTTGAGAATGTCTTTCCAGACATGAGCCTTGGCTTATGTGCCAGTGCTCTTTGGTACCACGGCTAAAAAGCAGCATTGTGATAATCCTTTTTGACCTCCTGAATAACACAGACCATAAAATTTCATGCAGTAGTTTCTGTGTATGGGCTAGAAACTTCCAGTTTCCATACCTGGCATGGATTTCAAGGCTTGAACTTGACAAGCATCGCAGGCCGAATTATATTTCTTTAAATAAGTTGGGCCCAAGCACCATATTGTCATCTGACCTGTGAATTTCTTAAAGTGGTTGTAATAGGGAAAAATGACCATTACTGTTTAAGATTCATGTGTTTGTGGAGAAGAGAGGTAATTCTTATAAATATTGTTTTCTTTAAATGGGAAAGGCTTTAGAATAGCTGAGATGATATCCTAGGATGAGACATTTCTTTTAGAGTGACTTATGGCTGTTTAGACAGAATTTACTCCTTGTATATAGTACGGCTTATCAAAGTGTGTGCTGCTGTTGTGGGCACACCCAGCTTGTAGAACTCAGGAGGTATCTCGTTGTTTATTCTGTGGCCTCAAGTCTGCTGCAAAACTAATTGTTTTCGTTTCAAAAAGTAACTAATTGTCAGTTTCTTAACCTTTTCTGCCTTCAGCTGTTAGCAAGTGCAATGAATGGAAAGCGATTACAACTTTGGAGAATTTGTGCAGCACTGAATTAGGCATTGCATTTTCTTCTGTGGTGGCCAGTAGTTCAGAAAGCATCATTAGGCCACACGTAGTATTCTAGGCACATAGGTCTTAGGATCTGGTCCTTACATAATGCCGTCAGTGCTTCATTTTTCCAAAGTTTTGGGTTGAAGAGTCAGACCA